TGGCCTGGGGCTTATAGACTAGGCTACCCTGGCTGGCCAGTGAGCCCCAGGGATCCACACCTGTCTCTGCCTCCCCAGTGCCAGGGTAACACTCACCAGCTGTTTTACTTGAGTTCTGGGATTTGCACTCATGTTCTCAGGTTGGCACAACAAACACCTTACCACCTGTTAATCCCCCAACCCCTGAAACTCATCTTAATCCCTCCCCATCCCTTCCTCCCGAGATAGAAGTGACAGTCTCTCCTCTGAGTTGCTTCACAGAGGACTCTCTGAGTGTTTTGAGATCCCCCTGAGCTTCAGAGGAGCCCAGTAAGGACAGAGTTTGCCTGCAAGTCTTCCCTGAGTCCTGTAGAGAAACATCTTGCACACAGGAAGAAATCAATAAAAATGTCATGAATGAATAAATTCAAGACTTGTCCTTTGTTCCCACAAGTCCCACCCACTGATATGTGAGCAGGGTGGGGACTGGGTGGCCCTGTGAAACCAGAGGCAGGGCCCTGCTATTGGGCCCCCTTTAGAGCTTCCAGCTTTTCTTGTCTTACAACTGCTCTGTACCGAATATGATTCTGCCCAGCACCATCTCCCTGGCATCACCTAGCTCTAGACCTCCAGATTAGAGCCTGTCAGGTATCTCTGCTCAATGTCCTGCAGGTGATGTTGAGCTTGGTTAAGTATTGTAAGACATCAGTATGTGGCAATCAGCTGAGCAGAAAGGGGCTCTTATGGAACATCCCACCACAAAACAGTATTGACTCTAATTCAATCTGGCAGGAAGGAAATTGGACCCAGAGACAGGGGTACAGTTTTACACTGTTTTTTACAAGGCAAGATGGAGGTACACCAATTTGGCACAGCATACAACCAAAATGTTAGGGCTTATGGAAGCTGGGTGCTGTGAGTGCCATGTGTATCAGGATAGCTCCCTAGTCCCAGGAATCCACAGAAAGGAGTCAAGAAGAGCTATTAAACAAGCCCTTCCCTGTTGTGGGATATTTGATCACACTTTGTGAAGATTTGTCACTGTTTTATCTCACCTGCCTAAGACACCTTCCGATTGATTTAATAAAGAGCTGAATGGCCAACGGCTAGGCAGGAGAGGATAGGTGGGGCTTCCAGGCAGAGATAGGAACTCTGTGAAGAATATGAGAGGCAGGGGATTCACCAGCCAGATGCAGAAGTTAGACTACTGTACTGAAGAGAGAAAACAAGCCACATGGCAGAATGTAGATTAATATAAACAGGTTAATTTAAGTGTTAAGAGCTAGATGGGAATAAGCCTAAGCTAAGACCAAGCTTTCATAATTAACTAGAAGTCTCCATGTCATTTTTTCGGAGCTGGTGGTCCAAAGAAAGACCTGTTACACTTCTCCATTGCTCAGCCCCATGCCTGGCCTTCCTGCTAGAGTTGAGACTGGAGCTGGTGTAGCCTCTAATCGCACCAGAGCCCTTGTGTGATGGGCATGTGATGGACTTGTGTGGTGGGGAGAGCCTTGGATACCGCGGCTCCTCCCCCATCCTGCATCCCCACTGCCAAGCACTTCTCCTTTCAGAACTGTCCCAAATGAAAAAAGTAGCTCAGGACTTTGAGTCCTTGGTAGGTGGGGGTGGACTGACCCTGCGAAGAGAACATAATGAAGGCAAGATTGTGCCCTTTGACCCAAAACAATTTCCCCCAAAGATGTGAGTTGGCTGAGTTTTGAGTGTGGAAAATATCCCTCTGAATTGCATTGTTGGCTCCGCAGGTGAAGGCACCTACAGCCAAGCTTGACAACCCAAGTTCGATCCCCAGGACTCAAATGATGGAAGGCGAGCACCAATACATACTAGTTAGCCTGTGACCTCTATAGAAGCACTTTCACACACACACACACACACACACACACACACACAGAGTAAATAAATAAAAATTGTAAGTGTGAAAAATGAACTGTAATTTCAAGGCATTGTGACACTTGGAACTGTCCTGGCCAAGAGATAGCATTACCTGGAAATAGTCACCTGACTTTGACAAACTTCAAGCAAGTCTAAGAAATGGGGAAGCACACGGGCAGTTGGTGAATGCTGACTATTCCTGCCATCCCTGACTTCTCAGGCCTGAATACTTAACAGTTCTACCAATTCATAAGTTGTCAATACTCTTTTTCATTTCACCTTCTCCCCCTTTCCCTCTTTTGTTTTTTTTTTTTTTTTTGGGGGGGGGGACAGGGTCTCACTGTGCAGTTCCTCACTTGGAACTTTCTACGTAAACCAGATTAGCCTCAAACTCAAGGTGATCCTACTGCTGCAGCCTCCTAAGTGCTGGGATTGCAATCGTGTGCCACCACACCTAGCTGTGACTCCATTCCTCCTAGCCTCTTTTTTGTTTTGTTTTTGTTTTCATTTGCTTGTTTTTCAAAAGAGGGTTTCTCTGTGTAGCTCTGGAGCCCATCACTTACTCTGTAGACCAGGCTGTCCTCGAACTCATGGAGATCCGCCTGCCTCTGCCTCCTGAGTTCTGGGATTAAAGGCATGCACCAGCACCACCTGGCCTCCTATCCTCTTTTAAGAATTATTTTATTTATTTATTTTTGAGGTTTTACCTACTTTCATTTGTGGGTGTTTGTCCACATGCAGTACTCATGGTGGCCAGCAGAGGGCGTCGGATCTCTTGGAACTGGAGTAAATGGATGGTTGTGAACCACTATGTTGAATACACACCTCTGAACTGTTCCAAAGAAAGTTTTCAGGGGGCTGGAGAGATGGTTTGGTGTATAAAAGCATCTGAGAAAGCTTGTTAGAGCGCAGCCTCTCCCCTAGGCCTGCTGGAGCCACATTCTCATTCCTGCTTTCTAGAGGCAGAAGCAGGAGGATCAGAAGTTCAAGGCTAGTTTCAACTGCATAATGAGTTGGAATTCAGCCTGGGATGCATGAAACTGTCCCAGATAATAAACACATACATAGCTGGGGGTTGGTGGCGTACGCCTTTAATCCCAGCACTCGGGAGGCAGAGGCAGGCGGATCTCTGTGAGTTCGAGACCAGCCTGGTCTCCAGAGCGAGTGCCAGGATAGGCTCCAAAGCTACACAGAAAAACCCTGTTTCGAAAAACCAATAAATAAATAAATAAATAAATAAACACATACATAAATAACTGAAGAGTCTTATACTAGCCACCCACATGCAGTGAGACCCTTAGGTGACCTGCCAAGAAGCAGATTTACGAATGGTGCTGAACAGCCTTGGAAGAAGTTCTGAGGACTAAATCCTCTCTGCTCTTGGTACCAGAAGACCAAGATCAAGATGTGGGTGGGGCTGTTCCTCGGGCCTCCCTCCTTGGCTCACAAATGGCTTCCCTCTTGTTGCCTCATCGTGGGGTCCTCACCTTGTACACACACACCTGGAGCCTCCGTGTCAATCCAAACTTCCTCTTCCTAGAGTCACCAGCCAGATTCGATAACAGCCCGTTCTAACGGCTCCCTTTTAAGTGTTAATTGTACT